ATAATCCGTGAACAAAGGAGTGTCCAGAGATGGTTTTGAAGTTACTGACACCACGGCTGTTCACGGTTGCTAAGAGCGTGAACATATGCCACAGACCGTGAACCTAGGGATGTAAGAATTGAATGATTTGTGTGTGGTTGTGTTAAATGTGAATGTGGATGTATTTTTCATGATGATGGTGTGTTCTTGGTTGCCCTAGATTAGAGAGGAAACCTCCTTAGGTTAAGAGGCTCAATTAGAGATAAGTGTTCTTGGGCATTGCATGCCTCCTAGGCTAGTTTCAAGAGGAAACCTCCTTTATCCAAAGAGGCTCAATTTGAGTTGGGTTTCCTTGGGCATTCAAAGCCTCCTAGACTAGTTTAGAGAGAACCCTCCTTAACCTAAGAGGCTCCATTAGAGATGGGTTTCATTGGGCATTTCATGCCTCCTATCCTAGGTTAATTAAGGGCGAACCTCTTAACTCGTATTAGCACTTAGGGTTTGGTTGTGGGTGGCCATCCGAACTCCAATTTGAGGGTGACGAGAGACTATGAGGGTAGCCTCGGTTGCTTGTTAGACTTCCCTATGGTTTATAACCCCCTAACCACACACGATCGTTCGATTCTGCAAGTCATAATTGTTAGCTAGGGGGAGCAACACCCAGGTGAAGACTTCTCTATTAGTGTCAAATCCATTTTACCTTTGCAAAGTACTTTAGTTTTAGACCTTAGTTTTCACGAATAACTAATCCTCTAGATAATGTTTCAAACAGTCGAAGTAGCGATACATGGGTCGGCACGGGTCGATATTTAAACATATATGTCCTATATCGAACCCATCTAAAGCTTATTTATACTTGGGTCTTAGATGGGATTTTATTGTGATAGTCAGAGCGAGTCACCGACCCATGTACCACTACATCGACTGTTTAAAACATTATCTAGCAAATAGTTTTTGTTAAAACGAAGATCTAAAACTAAAGTACTTTGCAAAGATGAAAAGGTTTTGATACTAATTGAGAAGGATTCACCCGGGTGTTGCTCCCCCTAGCTAACAATTACGACTTGAAGGATCGAATGACCGTGTGTGGTTAGGGGGTTATAAACCGCATGGAAGTCTAACAAGTAGCCAAAGCTGCCCTCTTAGTCTCTAGGTCGAGGAAATGGGATACGATCCAAGCCACTAATGAGACCCTCTCAACCTATTGACTAAGGAATGGTTAGACTTCACCCTCGAATTTGAGTTCGGATGGCCACCCACAACCAAACCCTAAGTGCTGATACGAAATTAGAGGTTTTCCCTACGTTAACCTAACTAGGACAACAAATTTCCCAAGAAAACCCAATATTCAAGCCTCTTTCAAAGAAAGGAAGGGGGTTTTCGCTCTACCTAGATTAGAATGGCAATTAGATTGATAGGCTTTCACACAACACAATCATTCATGAATAATACCTCCACATTCACATAAAACACAACCACACACAAATCATTCAATTCATACAAGCATTCACATAATTGTAGCTAGGGTTTACAAACACCCAAGTGAAAGAAGGGACTACTCCATGCTAGGAGAAGGGAAAACACAAGGGAGAAGAAAGAAAACCATCAAAAAGATGCTAGCCTTGCTCTTTGTGTTGAATAGATCCTCCTTTGGTGGAGGAATTCCCAAATCCTTGCTTGGAGATGAAACCCTAGCTTCTCCTCATCTTTGGTTCATCACTTTCTCACTCTAAAAATCTGAAGAAGAAGTTTCTCACACTAGGTCTCCCCCCTCTTCTTCCTTTCAACTGGCCTTTTATACTGAGATCTTGCCCAGTTTACGGCCTGAGTTCATGGGTGTGAACATCAAAACGCGTCCGTGAACTCAGTGTGTTGAACCAAAACGCACAGCTTCGCTTCTTGGGTTCACTGTTTGTGGTTGCGGTTCATGGTCTTAGAGATCGTGAATAGCCTTGGCGTCAGTAACCTCAGAATCCTCTCTGGACGCTTCTTGGTTCATCGGTTGTGGTTCCCGTTCACGGTCCTAGAGAACGTGAACTCCAATGGCAGACCGTGAACACACGTTGTTTCCTCCTATTTGCCTGGTCTTTGCTCCTTTTCTTCCAACTTTCAACTCCTGGGTTGGTTTCACCTGTTAGGATCCGAAATACATCGAAACACAAGAAACCTTGCGTAAAACCACCCCTTTTGGGAGCTCAATTGCAACAAACGTCAAAGAAAAACGGGAATAAAAAGTGTACAATTAGGTCCGAATCATTTGACTTTATAACAACTTTTAATATTATATTAAATGTTATATATAAATATGAATATTAAAATATCGATGTTATATGTTCAACTTAGATATGTGAATTGTTTGATTCTATGTTATTACTCAACTATAAACTATTATTTTGGTGTAATGTTAAATGTTTTTATCATGTGTAGGATGAAACTTGATTTATTTTATATATACGTTCACAATATAATGATTTTTATACACATATTCAAGATAAACAGGGCTAAATTGGGCTAAACGATCCGATCATTAAATCTTAACCCACTTGCTCAGCCCTGTCAACGGGCCAAACTGGGTTGACAACCATAATAGTGAGAAAGAGTGAATATATGATAATGTTCATGACTTAAATAAGATAAACTCTACTAACCGAAAATTAAGTTTTATACTAATTTTTATTCCAATAGTTAGACAATTTGTGCTCTTTTCCTATATCAAATAAAATCTAATTTCATCAAATATTGTTATTGTTGTTCCCCATTAATGAAAAGTATCCGATGAACGGGCCGGCCCCAAATCTAGTTTCCTTTAGAGCTGTAATCTTCAAATATGTAACTCTCTCGGGTAGAATAAAAGTAATCCAATTGTTGATGGTACATCTGTTGTTCTTCAGGGAGCGATATCCATCATTAAATTGTTAGTAGCTGAAGTCCACTGTCACACATCCATTGTAATTTGTAAACGTTATTAGAAGTCAAACATGCTTGGGCTCAATTAAATCTGATGTGATTAAATGTCACAATTGACTAAATTAATATCAGCTATGCTGTAATCGTCTTACAACTGTTGTTTACACATCACTGCACTTATGGGATGGAATGTATTGAACTAGTGAAGACAAATATGCGCGAGCAATAGACTTCTACAGTGAGGAGGAGAAGAGGAAATGGTGGTGGATTAGGAGAGCTGCAATATGAAATTTAGTTGGGCTACCAAGTTTTACTAATTTGATTGAGTTGTACATTGGTTGGGTTCTAGAATTTGTTGTTAACATTAACTCACACATAACTGAAATAGAAAAGATGTGAGATTTTGATAGTTAGAAGTGTTAATTTAAGGCAAAATTCACTTGCATAGCCAAAACTATCACCTTTGTGCCACTTATAGCCACTTTTGGCGAAATACCACTAATAGCCACTTTTAAAAGATGTTGCGTGCCAGATATAGCCATTTCCGTTAGAAACTATAACGGTGTTAATAACACCGTCAACTTATTTGACGGTCGACTGACGAGGCGCCAATTCAGCGGACACGTCAGCGCCACATAAATAAATAGTGACACGTTAGATATTTCAATTATTTAATAATTACAAATTATAAATTAAAAAAATACTCATATTCCTTATCTGCGCAACCCATCTTCCCCAACTTTTCCCCAAATTCAATTTTAGGGTTCTTCTCCAATTTTTCCATTCCCCACGCGAATCCTCTACCCCTTTTAGATCGAAGCGGCGAATCCTCTTCCCCGATTACTTCTTATGCAGCCATTTCCCCCAACTTTTCAATTTTGGATAGCAATCATGGAAACTAGAAGAAGAAAAAACAGAACCCCCAAATTGAAAATGATGTACGCATGGAAATTCTGCAGGTGCTCCACGAACAGAGAGATGACTCAGAAGCAACGACAGCTTATGGAATTTGGGTTTTTGGAAGCAGCAGCGGCTTTTGAAGCAGCGTCCCCATCTCCTATACTTCGTTCCATCTTCATATCCTCTTTTACACCGACCATCTACGATCCCAGCTTTCATGCGTAGTCACCGCCATCGCCACCAAATTGAATGTACGGAGTCGACAACTGCGCTTGCTCTAGTCGAAGTCGCTCCTCGATAAACCCCTTCAACAACTGGCAATGGAAGAGGGATTGGGGGAGGTGGTTGAGGGAGAGCCGAATTTTGAGGGCAGCAGTGGAGGCGGTGGTTGAGGGAACACCGGATTTTGAGGGCGGCAGTGGATATGAGTCCCGACGACGGGGAGAATCACCTCTGCTCTGTTGAATCCAGAAAGCATCGATGGCCTCGCTACAGGATGCTCCGTTGGATTGGCAGTGCGGTGGCGTCAGAGCGGTGGATTGTCGGCTGAGAGGATGTTGCGGCAAGGAGATTTGCGACGATGGAGGAGGATGCCAGAGCGATTTGGGATTTTTTTTTCCCCAAAAATTACGCTGACCACGCAGAGGGATTTGGGATTTTTTGTTTTCCTTTTTTCATTAATTTAATAATAAAAGAAAAGCCTATTTCCACCTAGTATGATTTTGGAGAAAAAAATGCTCATGTGGCTGGCCACGTAAGTCACGCTGTTTGCCCAGTCACACTTAACGTTAACAGCGTTAAAGAATTGGATGGAAGTGGCTATAAGTGGTATTTTGCCAAATTTGGCTATTATTGACATAAACACGAAAATTTTGGCTATACAAATGTATTTTGCCTTAATTTAAATTTGTTCTTTAAAAACAATAGGCAAAATACACTTGTATAGCCAAAATTTTGATGTTTGTGCCAATAATAGCCAAATTTGACGAAACACCACTTATAGCCAATTCCGTCTAGTACTTTAACGGTGTCAACTAACAGACTGACTGGACTAACGGAAAAGCTGACTTGGCGACATTTCATCCACGTGGATGAATGAAAAAGAATAAAAAATAAAACAAATAATAAATAACCAAATAATATATCTTCCCATCCTTCCCTCTCTCTCATCGCCTTTCTCCCCACCTCCACTGCCGGTAGCCATCACCTCTACCTCCTCCCTCCTGGCCTCCTCCTCAACCTTTTGCCCCACTTCGTTTTGACCATCTGATTTCATCAGCCAGAACCAAAATTATTCCCAAACCACTTATCTCCAAAAAATTGAACTCCATCTCCATTTTCCAGGTCTGGCGTTGAGGAAGAAGATGATGGGAGGAAGAAGATGAAGCGGCAGAGAAGTGACACAGAGGGATTTTTTTTATATGCGGATTTATTTGATTTCTTGGATTTTCTTTACTCGCGGTGGTATACGAACCCATCTTAGCCGCCGTCAATCATCCACCCTTTATACCCCCAGCTCCCCCACACAGCAGAGAAAGTTGGTCGCCCAACGGCAGAGCTTCTCGTTTTACACCTGTGATAGATTCAAGACACACCACCGTGGTAGCGGCAGGACCGAGATGCACCGAGGCTGTTGGTAATCGGATGTAAAGAGATTCATCCAGTCCAAATTCCACGCCATGGATTGAACTGGGTAGCTGAGGGATTCAAAATTCAGGGAGCGACGAAGTGCCATGATAGCTTCAAATGGTTTGAGTTTTCCGATTCGAAATCGATGGCAGATCTAAATTCATTCAATAAGGGTTCGATGGCTGCCGCGTCGGTGCCGTTGGGCCATATCCCTGTTCTTCGCTTCTTCTTCTTCCATTTCATTGCTGCTGACGGTGATTTTAATGCTTTGCGTGAATCTGACCTTGGGTTCATGAGTCTCGAATCTCAAAGACATGAAAGTTTCCAGATCCGTCTTTCTCACTACTGCAGTCACTGGATCTTGGAGACGTTGAGCTCCGAGAAGCGGATCTTGGCGGAGGAAATGGAGACGAGGAGGGTGAGGAGGAGAGGCAAGAGAAGGAACCAAGCTATTGATCGGGTGAGAAATTTAGAGAGCTCGAAGGAGGAGGAATCAGACCTTCTAAGGGATCTGGTTGTTCACACAATGGCTAAGAAGAGTGTTGATTCACAGCGGCGGCGGAAAAATAGGGGAAGAAGAGGCACCGAGGGAGTAGAACTCTAAGGGGTTTTTTTGTAATTTTTTATTAAATTATTTTTAAAGTAAATAATGGCATAGCATGTAATTGTCGCTGACGTGGTAACTATTTGGCAATCTAGTCAGTATACCGTTAATCTAATGGACGGAATTCTTAACACCGTTAAAGTATCTAACGGAAATGACTAGATTTGTCATACAACATTTTAAATTCTGACTATTTCTGGTATTTCGCCAAAAATGGCTTTTATTGTCACAAACGTGAAAGTTTTGGCTACATAGATGTATTTTGTCAAAACAATATCATAAGTTAAAACACGACAATTTTTTTCTTTTTTTCCATATAACAAGTTCATTCATTCATAACATTAAAACTAGGGATGGCAAAAGTATCCGTAACCGTGGATATCTGCCCGAATTCGACCTAGTCGGGTAGGGTAAAACTCGAACTCGAAAGACTTTTAGTGGGTATGGGTAAACCCGAACCCGAATATTGCGAGTAATGAGTGGGCATGGTTTTTTCACTATCCAACCTGAACCCGCCCGATTATACACATGCATATGTATTTTGTCTAGAAATAATCATTATTTTTCTCTAACATATTTTGTATTAAGCATATAAATATAGTATTTTCATGAAATTATGTTATTTTTATTAATTTTCCTCATCCTAGTGAATTATTGTCATACTTTTTCTATTATATAGTGTGAGAATACGAGTGAACATGGGTAACCGAAACCCGAACGAGTATAGACATGGTTTTGATTTTCTACCTGTTTCTTATATGAATATGAGTAAAATCTGAACTACTTTGAATAGGGTAACGAATATGTACTATCTACCACCGACCCGACCCATTGTCATCTCTAATTAAAACTCACTACTTAACAAAAGAGACAAGACAAAGGTATTTACGTTACTTGTTCTATTTATATTTTGTTTTGAAAACAATACATAAGTTAAAGCAAGACAAAGGTATTTATTTACATTTACTCGTTCTTTATTCCTACAATGACATGTACTTACCTATACAGAGAACTAGCTAGTGTGTAACATTTACACATCATTAACATCTTCTCTGTGAACAACCATTCTACCTTTAGTGTCATTTTGCTACTTGGGGTTTTAACATAGCTCCCCACCTAGTAGTAAAACATGCCTTTTGTCGAGAATTCGGTTCCACACGAACTACCAGAACTCTAAATATGGAGTTCAGTTCTCTGTTTATCATCCCTATACGCCACATCTCCACAGACCGTGATCTTCGAGCTTGTAGTGACGGTCTCTGCATTCTGCAGGGCAAATCCATGGACGATAGGCAACGGGATCCCCTGTGCGAGATGTGCATTCACGTACGGCAAGAACACCGTTTCTATGGCTGTCCACATCACTGGCTGCCAGTAGTAAACGAGAAGGAAAGGTGTTATCATGTTGCAAAATTGATGGCAGTCAAAGTTTCGAGTCTTTTATCTCCTAACTAAATATATAGTTAGACCTCGACTAAGAGTGGCCAAACTATCACGATCCTACCTGAATGACAAACAATGGAAGATTGCCAACATCACTCCAGTTCTGGATCATTGTGAAGCCGTCCAGTTTCATGCTCCCCGCCAGGTTGTTCCCCGAGATCCTCACTGAAGCCGACCCACTAATTTCCTGACATCGTAACAAAAGCAAAACACACAAAACTCAGCAAAATAGTTCAAAAGCGTTGATAACATGTTTTACCACCAATAGTTTGAGCTTACAAAAGAAACACAAGCAACTGGTATCGCTTGATTCGCTTCCAATACGTTGATGATCAATGCTGCATTTACTGTTGCGTCGATCTTTTGCTCCGAAACACTAATCACCGGAGGGGAGGACAAGGAGATGTTTAAGTTCATGTCGTCATTTGGGTACTTCTTGTATAGTTTCGGAGCGATGAATCTCCATCCAGCTGTGTTCAGAAGAGCTTGATCTGGGATTTTGTCCACAATCCACTGCATGAATTTTGCCTGCTCCCAGAGGTAAGAATTGCCAACAGTTTTATAACAGAAAGAGATGACTGATGAGTTTTATATTAAATGCTACTACGTTGGAAACCCAGGACAATATTGGGTTGACCTATTTGGTCACTGAACTCGTCACTGAGTCACACTGAGCATCAAACTCACTCGAATGGATCAAATGTTAGTCATTCCATCACTTGGCTCACTTCTGCGTTAATAACGTGGTAAACATCGGTTACATGAAAACCTTGTTAGCATCATATCGCAAACATAGATAGCATTTACGAGAGAAAAAGTTGAGATCAGTACCCAAGTTGTCACATATACGTGAGTTGAATGCCCAAATTGTCATACATTGCTTGAGTTTCATGTCTGGGCACTGAACTGGCATATATGTGATAATACAGGTATTCAAGAACTTTCTCTCTCCTAAATGACATTCATGCTAGCAATCCAATGATGAACTGGCTGTCAATCCAACCAAATAATTAGAGGTTCCAGGTGTTGACACGGAAGTAGACAGGAATTGCTAATGTCAGCCCATCAGAGTGAGTTCAATGCCTTGGTAGCTTAAAAGACAAATTTACGGCCCAATGTATCACATATCGACGATCTCAGTAACCTGATGGATAGCAGTAGCACTAGGTGTTATGTAGGAACTATGAAGTGCTGCAACTTACATTGTAATATAGTGCACAAGCAGAATTGAAAACAGCTTCGTCCAGTTCAATTCCAAGCATTTTAGAAGGATCTGAGCAGAGAACCGATGATTGTGAATTCCTGAAGTACTCCATTGATGTAGATGATGTATTTTGCCTTGCCATGAACAATCCATTGATGTCAAACTGAATGGAGTTGCTGGTCAGCAAAGGATCACTCAAGAAAGTCACATTCAGAGAAGCAATATCATCTACTGGAATCTCTTTGGGAAGGGACTGCAGAAATGCATCAAGCTTGTCAATGCCATCTTTGAGATTCTTGGTAATAGTGCTCTCAACTGCAGATGTGATGCGTCCTGCAAATGCATCGATCATTCTGGTACGACAAACAAAGGGAAAGAAGCATCAAACTTTTCAATTCAATCAAAAAAGCAGTCCCAAGACTAACAACGAAGTAAGAGATTGATGTACCCTTGATAGAGCCACGATGCTCCTCCATCCACATTTATCTTGATACCTCTAACAATGCAGCCACACTCCATAGCTGAAAGCTTCAGGCTTCCGTTCTGGTTCTTCAACCCTAATGTAAGCCCAACTTCCATTCCTTCAACCTTTACCAGCAAGAAAGAACTGAAATCATGATGGAACACATAATGCCAAACTCATAACAGTTTAAAGATATCTAAAAATATTCAACATTCCCATAAAAGTACCAATTTCAAGCAAACAACTAGATTTACCACTGTGACCTTCCAAGAAGAGTCAGATTACTTCCAAAGCTTTGAGGAACTGATGTGATCACCAAACTCCTCAATATGCATCATATTGGCAAATAACTCAATATTGAAACTAACTAAACACCAAACTCATTGCAATAAGTCACAAGTAGCATTTCCGTTTCCCCCATCTTACGTTCATTAGCCCTTGTGTTGCTGATGTGGCAGCCTTTATTTCCCCAACAGAGGCTACCACATCATCAACATAGCTAGCAAAAACTGACCGAGAAAATGAAAATATTCACCGTGATAAAGGGCCAAGTTTGGTGCTTTAGTTGTTCAATACATAGGTGAGCTGGGTGACCAAATTGGTACTTAACCCGCTTATTATTTATCAGAAAAGTAAGCTTATGGACTGATGATTGCTTCCCCCAACAGAACAAGTCATTTAATTCCTGTTCTTTCTCAACACAATTCAATTCATCAACAACACCAAAAAAAAGTCATTAAATTTGAGAAGCCAGAGTCCAGAGACAATCCACACAACATAAAAGAACTCGCTTGCCCCATAAACCAATTCAGGCATTACAATAGCAGCAATCAAACTATACCCTCTAAAAGATTCAAACCTTCCCCCATCTCATCCATTTTTTTCATATGCAAAGCACAAGAACACATCAGCTATGTATCAATCCGAGGCTCACCTGAACAGAAGCGTTCCCCTTATCAGAAATCTCCACAGGAAGAAGCCAGGAACTGTACTTGTAATACCAATTCATGCTCAAATTACAAGTCATCCCAGAAGCTATAATCGCCACGCCAGTGTCACCAGGCTTAACATAAGACGACAAAACGTCAATTTCATCGATTGTGATGCCCGTGAGCGTCATCTGAACATTGCCCAGGAAAGGAAACTTGGCAGATTTCTCGAGCCGTGGCAATTTCAGAGGTATTGTCGAGGCAATCGCCTTGTTTATGAGCAAGTCCTTGAGAAATTCAAGACCTCTCTCCGATAGCTCCATAGCCATGAAGCCTTCTCCATTACTGGTCTCTGATATCGATTGGGTTCGCGATGACTTGGGGAATGAAGCTGTTGTGATGAGGAAGAAGAGGAAGAAGAGAGGAGTTGGTGACGCCATATCTGGGCGTCAAGTTTTCTTGATAAAATTTGTAAATTCTTGAGTTATTGCTTTCGGCCCTGCGGACAAGAGCATGAGCTAAAAAAGGGTACTGTTGAATTTGTTAAGTATAAATTTGGTCACCAAACTTAAATACGTATATAGATATAAACTGAATTGCTATTCGTCATCCTAAAATTCAAAATTTATCGCCCTAAAACGTAGTAATTTACATATTTACCTCTCAACAAAAATTTTATTATCCCTAAAACCAAACCAAACAATTGCAGAGAAGTTAATTTGCGCCGGGATCCCGATGCTCTGGACGCGGCCGGCGACGCAATTCAGAATTCCAGATCCGCCGAGAACAAACGATTCTCTAACGGACTCATTTGGTCAAGCAAAACAAGGGAAAAGATAACTAACGAACATATTTTAACTTTCTCTCGTTCTATTTAAGTTTATTGATCAATTAATTTTCCTACACGATAACTGCAACAATGAAGGTTCATCAAGTGTTGTAGGCTGTAGCTCCAAAAGGATACCGTGTTTCTTAGCAAATTCCAATTGACGGGTCACTTGAGTAGTATGCTTTCTGACATTGCAGAATTCTGGCGCAGATGCGAAGCAATCAAATGGAAACGCCTTTGTCAAAAAAAAAAAAAATCATGGAAATGAGCTAATAGGATCAGACATGCGCTATGCAATAGGAAACCAACTGCACTCTGCGAGCCTAGAACGAGCTAGGAAACAAAGTAGTTTAACTTTATCGAACCGAGGGTATTAGAGTAAAATTTACTTAATTAGGGCGACGAATAAGAATTTTTAGAGCGACGAATAGCAACCCCAGATATAAAGGGTAAATTGCAACTTTGGTCACTAAAATTTTTATAAAAGTTCATGTTTGCCACTAAAATTAATTTATTTCATTCGTAGTCACTTAAATTAGTTTAATGTTTGAGCCTCGACACCCCGCTGACACGTCACGTCTTTTCGATCAGGCGCCTGCCTACACACACGAGCACAGAGGGGGGCGTCTGTGCCCGTTAGCCCTCCGACGATCAAGTCAGTATCTTAGAGAGAGAAGTGCTTTAGAGCAAGAGTTTTAGTGAGAGAGTCCAACCTCTGTAAATGCTACCAACTTCCCCTATTTATACTCACCGACCTCGAGGTGGATCTCCTCCACGTCACCGTCACATTAAATGCTTTGTACCTTCCCTCCTGTCAGAAGACTCAACCACCTTGTCAGGCTTCTGATGACTGGCAGGCGCCCACAGGCGGGGGACCACTTGCCAGCCTGGACTTCTTTGGCCCTTAGCGCTTTATCTTCTAGCCTATGTTGCCTGGCATGAAGTGGGCTTTGTGAGCTTCTTCTCCTGGCCCACTGCCTTGGGCTACCTTCAATTGAATGAGCTCCTTCTTGGGTCTTTCTTTGGGCCCCTTTTAGTGTTACCCCAACAATTGCCCCCCCAGTTAGGCGCTCATGGTCTTTTACCTGAGCGCCTAACTTACCCCTCGGTCAGGGCGCTTCTTACGAGTCCCAATCTCTCAATGGGCACCGGTTGCCCCTTTAAGTATAGCTTTCTGACGCCCGAATCCTTGTAGTCAATCAGTGTTCGCCTCGTGCCCGGCGCCTGTTCGTGTGACTGGAGGCTCTTAGGTTCATGCCCCCCCTTTCGGAAGGCACCCTACGTCCTTATTGCTTTTGGGCGCCCTCTTTGCGGTTATGACCTGGGTCGTGCTATGGTATGGACACCTGATAAGTGTGACTGATGCCCCCCTCACGGGCGGGAATTTGAGCCTTTACTTTAAGATATTCTTTTAAATTCCAATTTCGAATTTTGAAAATCAAATTTTGAAATTTTAAAACAAGGGGAGCTCAAAGGTCCGCCCGTGATTTGGTGACACGTGGCAGGTGGCGTGGTCTTCTATACACGCCCTTCCTCCCTTTAAATACCCCCAGCCTTCCTTCTCTTTGTCACTTTCCTCATTTCACTCTCTCTCTACATCTTTGCTCTCCCTTCTCTCTAGACTTGCTCTGCCCTCTCTCTACTTTGAAGCTTTCCGCGGACGGCCTTTTCTTCTTTCCCCTTGCAATCAGATGGCCTCTCCTCAAGACCGAACTTCCGACGGGGGCGCCCTAGAGACTCGCGCCTCCCCCAATCGCTCCGCTGGAAATGAAGCAGGCGCCACTCCCTCTCGTCCTGCACAGTCGGGAGCAGGCGCCTCCAACCGCCCCTCTGTTTCTGGTAAGCGCCCAGTCGTGGACTTCTTCCTCCTCTTGTAGTTTTTTTTAAGGCGTGAGTGAGGTTCTTACTCCAACTCGAAATTGTACGTCTGGTTCGTTCTTGGTTTAGATAGGGCGCCTGAGTCTGCGGGAGGAGCGAGCGCCTCCACCTTGGTTTACGTGGCTGCCGATGGCTCTTATAAGATCACTACCTTGGAGAAGGCGTTCCCCCCCCCCCCCCCCCCCCCCCCCCCCCCCCCGCGATCATCTTCCCACCGATACTGTTCGAGGAGGCTGGCCCGGAGCATCAATCGACGGTGACCCTGGCACACGTTCATGAATTAGTGACCAGTCTTCAGCTCCCGCGTGACTGGTGGTACGCGCCCCCGTCAGCCATCTCTAGGGTTGGCGTTTTTGAACCCAAGTGGATAGGAGTTTACCAGGATTACTTTAGATTTGGGTTGCGCTTTCCCATAGACCCCATTCTAGAAGGGATTCTAACGATGTGCGAGTGCCCGTTGGGGCGCCTATCCCCCTCAGTGATGGTGGTGGTGGCGTTGTTTAAGTTGAAGTGCCAGGTGCACAACATGAGACCCACCTTCAACCTTTTCAGGTGGTTTTTCAGCGTGGCGCCTCTCAACAACCGTCTCTCCCTACAGAAGCGCACTAAGCGCCCACATCATTTTGTTGTTAGGTGCCCCAAGCTGGGGCATAGTTGGTTCAACGGGTTCTTCTTCGTGAAGTCCTACCGGGATTCTTTCTTTGAAAGTGGGGCGCCTTTGTGAGGCATTGGGCGCTGGGTAGCACTGAGAGCTTCAACTCGGTGGTCCATCTGTCGTCCGACGAGACCAGAGGCGCCCAGCTTATTAGCACGCACCCAGTTAACCTTCGCATCACTGAGAATCGACTTAGGGTTTTGGAAGAGTATTATGATGATGGTGTGTGGGCGCCTTTCAATTGCTACTTGGCTCTCCTTTGCACAATTCTAATCATTTGTTTTTGCCTGTGCAGGATCGGACTTCAGTTCCATCAGGAAGCTGATCAAGAGCCGGTTGGCTATAATGGCGGCGGGGGCGCCTGCTGCCGCTGGTGCCCCTCAACCTTAGGTGCCCCCAAGAAGGGTAGGGTGGCAAAGAAAGCCCCCGCGAAAGCTGCCCCATCTAAGGCGCCTGCGCGCGCCAAAAATGCGAGTGTGGCGTCCTCTGCCCCCGAACAGAACGTTGAGGAACCTGCTGTCGACCCCACTTTAGGCGCCAAGGAATCAGAGGAGGAGGCGCCTTCTCTTGTTCGGCGGGAAAAAAGAGCAGGCTCCCCCCTGCCCACGGCGGGAAAAAGGCTCGCGAAAGCGATAAAGAGAAGGGCAAGGCCGCGGCCCAAAGCCCTGATAAGGAAGAAGGCGCCCGCGTCCATCTGGATGAAGAGGGGCGGGGCGCTTTGTTGGCCCCGATGGGCGCCCGCCAGTCCTTCGGCCACGGCAGATTGAGGTTGGGCGCATCGCCCTTCCTTGATCTCCACTGTCCGCGGTGGACCGCGGGTGCGCCATTGGACTGGCCATATCTGCCGCCAAGATGTGGCAGGTACCTTCGGAGGTGAACGGAGATCACCTCTTCGCGGAGCTGTCACAAGTGGGCGCCAAGGTAACTTACTAGTTGTCACATTTGTTAAATTTTGCCCTATCTTCTTTTTACATAGTCTTTTTATATGTCTAACTCCTTTGTGTTATTGGCATAGATTCTCCTTTTCGCGGAGAGAGGCGCCCGCCGGCTGTGGGAGTCGTAGGAGGAGGCGCTGGCGGCCTCGAGTTCGGCGTCCGCTCTAAAGGAGGACTTGGAGACGGCGTCCAAACGCCGCGAGCAGATGGTGCAAGAATGCGAAGACGCCCAGCTGAAGGCGGCCATGGAGCTGTCGCGGCTGCAGGACGCTTTGGAGGAGGAGCATGCCAGATGCGAGGCAGAGTTCGAGGAGGAGGGGAGGGGTTTGATGGAGAAGGTGGCGAACCTTGAGGCCGAGAAAGAGGAGCTGGCAAAGGAGGTGGGCGCCCAAGCCAGCGAGATAGACCTTCTCAATGAAGAGAATGGTAGGCTTCGGGATAGCCAAAGGGAGAGCAAGAAGTCACTGAAGGCCGCCCGCAAGGAGATTGCGGGTCTGAAGACTTCTCTCGATACGTTCGAGGAGTTTGAGGCCGGAAAAAATTTGTTCGCAAACGCCTGCCTCACCTTCCTCGACATCTTAAAGAGGAAGCTCGACCAAGATCATCCAGACCAAGTTTGGGATGTGACAGAAATGGCCGAGTTCCTGATTGGTGACATGATGGGTGCCAAGGAAGGAGAGAGGGCGCCTCCCACTCCAGCTGCAGATGCGCCTCCTTCTCAGGAATATCAGGCGCTTCCCACTCCAGGAGAACAGGCTCCTCCTCCCGAAGAGTAGGCGACCCAGACCGTGGACGCCACCTCCGAGGTCGAGTGATGCTTTTCTTATGATCTGCCCCCCTTGTGTACTTTAATTTTTTTTTCTTTTGTTATGGACAACTTATTTTTATGGACATCTTGAGTTTACCTTTTTCGACTCTCCTTTATGAATCCTCGTTGTGCGTTGGTGTTGTTTGGCATTCTGCGTATATGGGGGCGCTAGTTGTGGGCGCTTTTAGTGGCGCTAATTGTGGGCGCTTTTAGGGGCTCGATCATTGGGCGCTTTAATAGGTATTTCCTTGTCGTCGTACCGTTCATGTAGGGCGCGTAATCTGGGCGCTTTCACGGGTTATGACTTCGCATTTTTTGGTGGGACATAGGGCGCA